GCATGTAGACTGTACGATGATGACACCTATTGAATCGTAGGCTGCCACGGCTGTGACATACGTTACCGCAATGTCATCAGCATGCGCTAGTGGTAAACAAATACCAGTACATCAAGATGGATCGCGCTTTGGCAGTTGTGCTTTTCATGTGCGCTGAAACAAAGAATAGGCACCGGTGGAAGAGGGCAATATGGACCCGCTCATGGCTCGGGAAAAGAGGACAACTTGGGATGCCAGTTTTGCACAGGGAGCTTGGCAGCTGCAGTTCCTCCGTTATCTCCTTCAATACTATGTCCTTTTTGGTGCGGTCATGATAGCAGCTAGAGGACACATCGTACAAACATGCCCTCTGCTGCCACAACTCAACAATAATTTGTTCTTTATGGGTATCCCACATACCAGTATATCTTCTACTTTTTTTTGCCTCCATGGCATTGAAATTTTAGCACTGCTGGTCGCGTGGATCAATATGTCATTTCATGTTGCAATTTCATTGGCTGCTGAGTAGACGCAGGTCGTTGCAGTAAACACACTGTGCGTTGATCATGCTGAATTTCTGACATTGTCAGAAAACTATCGTAGGCTATCTTTGGTCGCAAGACCGGGAAAACCCCCGTCTTTGAACCTCTCTCACTGTACGACATAGGATCACCAATTAAGAGCCATGATCACAGAATTCGCCACAATTGCTTCACGATGGCAATCTTTCGTCTGGGACAGACAAAAATCGTGCAGTGTATTACATTTTGAAGTAGTTTTAAAAGCTTCTTTCTGCACCGCTCCAGCCCTAACCCATCCAGATCCGAACCATCAGTTCGTGGTGGAAGTGGATGCTTCCACTCTAGGAGTAGGTGCAGTATTATCCCAATGGAAGGGTGTACCCCCCGTACTTCATCCATGCGCGTACTTCTCCAAGAAGATGTCCCCGGTGGAGCAAAATGACGACATCGGGAACAGCTAGTTACTGGCCATCAAACTCACGCTGGAAGAGTGGCGGCACTGGTTGGAAGGGGCACAATGTCCCTTCGAAGTCATAACTGATCACAAGACCCTCCAATAGATAAACGTCTTAATCCCCAACAAGCACAATGGGCCTTATTCTTCACCCGTTTCCGATTCACAGTAACCTACCACCCTGGGCATAAGAACCTCAAAGCAGATGCTTTATCACAACTTCATCAACCAGATCCATCACCAGATAACACTGAACCCATTCTCTCACCCACAGTGTTCGCATGTCCAATCACCTGGGATGTGAATGACCAAATTTGTGCCACCACTCTAACAGAAGGGTCCGGAAGGGAGATTGTATGTACCTACCACTCTACGACTCGCCCTTCTGGACTCCATCTACACTTCTCCACGATCGGGTCACCCAGGCAGCCAATGCACACTATCGCTCCTCCGGAACAGATACTGGTGGCCCAGCATGGCTCAGGATGTCGCACGCTACGTCAAGGGTTGTTCGGTCTGCGCCATCACAGCCACTCCACGCCGTTTACCTGCAGGAAAACTGCTTCCCTTACCTGTTCCATGCCGACCCTGGTCCTCACAAACTGAGCCAGTGTTTTAAACACCACAATCCTGCAGAGAAACCGAGAAAGAATGAGAGTTAATGTGTCTTTATTGACTATGTGGCTTTCTATAGCGTGATTAAATAATGATGTTACTTGGTTTGTTTCATCTGTGAAACTTCAGCATTGAGAGTTTTGAGAGCTGAGATCATACTGATGACGATCTTGATGAAGAGAATCATGTTTAACTGCAAAGTAGAGGAGTAATTAATGACCTTTTCTTTTTAATATTTAAGTCATGAGAAATAAGAAATGTTTACCGCTAGTATGACACAAATAGGACCCAGAAAACTCCAGATGAAGCCTTTTTCCATTTTAATCCAGCATCTGAAAAATCAATATAATAACTGAATGAATTTGTCAGAAATACTATTTCAGGTGTTGACTGGTTAAATATTACAAACTTTAATCTTGTGCGTGAGACTGATACAGCCTGTGTGTTTATTTGATCAGAGAGCAGAAACATCACAAAATCCCAGAGCTGCTTTATTTCCTTCTAATCAAATTAACTTAAAAACAACAACTCACTGTTCATTGCCGTAGCCTTCAGGAACCAGACCGACAGACACACACACCACAACCAGAGCAACCACATATCCAATCACACACAGAAATCCACTTCTAAGCACCTCCCTCTTTCTGGAGCTGATCTGTGATAGGTTCTTCACACAGATGAAGAGCAGCAGAGCTTCAATGAACATCCACACAAAGCCGGAGAGAAAGAGGAAGTGCAGAAGGCCTGAGATCACGGCACACAA